TGACTAGTTCTTAGGAACCGTCAGTCAGGATATGGCAATTCAGACGCCTACCCTTTGTCATGCTCTCTGTGCATGAGATATTTTTAACATTGAAGGCCAAGAAGAAACAGCTTGCTGTTCTTCTGTGAACATACCATGAACCTGAGCAAAGCTGACTTAAAAAAAAGACATTTCTGAAGCCTTTAGACTATTATTTTGAATGGTGTTCAAGGCGTTGCCTTGAAGGCTGGAAGCCCTTTTGCATCAGAAACAGAACAGTGGTAGCATAAGACTTGTATTTTATGCACTGCATACACAACCCAAAGTCAACAAAGACATGTACAAATAGAAAAATAAATGTTATGAATAATCTGAACATGTGACTGCTTTTGATATTTTATCCCAGGCCTCACTATATCAACTGAAATCAATGACAAACCGTAGGTACCAACCAGTCATTGAAACATTTCAGCTTCATCTCTTTGTGTTTGCAAAGCATTTGAGATTCATACGACATAGTCCTTTGGTCTTCCACACATTTGCAGAGGAACTCATCATGGCAAGGAGCTCAGCAAGCTCACCAACAACTAAAACCTGGTTGTAGAAAGGGCTACATGATACATGAAAGTCACTACTGGACATAGACCAATGCCAAACACAATACTCCCGTAGTACTTCCTTAGAGAACATCTGCTTGTGTTTCTCCTATTACTAGCTGTAGAAAAAAAAACCCAAATCTTAGCAGAGACTGTACCTCGAAAGCCAAATTTATTTTCAAGCTGTGAAATCTGACTTTTGCAGTAGAGCAGAGGCTTAGTAATCGCACATACACGCCGTGTACTCCAAGGGTGCCAAGTCACAGGCTTCTGCTTTATGGAGCCAGTAAAGAGTGAGAATGTTTTCGGGGAATGTTTTTGCTCAGCTTTGCAAACTGTATCTTATCACCTGCCTGGCTTAATGATAACAGAAAAAAACTCAAATATTACAGCATCCAAAGCACTGCAATCAGTGTTTTTAAGAAACAATTACTTCTGAGCAGGTACGGGTGTTTTAGGTCACCATTGCAACATCTCTCCCCATTGAGGCTTAAATGTCAGATGATAGTGTTAAACCCCAGTGCTACCAGATCCAAGCCAGGTTGACAACTTTGTACATGCACTTACTTATCAAATCCAGCTTTAAATTAAATTTGGGTTGAAATTGAAGAAATTGGCTCTCTTTGACAAGCATAACCCTACTATTTACCTATCAGAAGCAGATGCTAGTATATTTTTAAATATTCCATAGCTGCCTATTGTTATCTCTACAACACATAAGCAGAAACCCTATTTAGGAAGCATATAGCATCTCTGGAATTTTTAGCAGAATGCATCTCTCCTGCTTTCCTGTGAAAGCATCACCCATTTTTGCCTGCTAACTATAGTCCAGAATGTAATGGAGATGTTTGGCAAAAATATCTCCCACTGCCACAATGTCCCAATGAGCAGACATGTTATTTTTCGATTCTGCTATGCGTACTTCCACAAGATCAAATGAGAGCTAAAATGCTATTAATGCACTTAATGACATGTTCTTAGCAATAAATTCAGTCAAATATAGCAAGATGGAATGACTAAGTCTAGGACAGACTAGTGAGACCAGAGACGAGTGATTCTGAACAGCTGCTGGCATGAAATTCAGTATTTGCAACACTGCACAACTCTTCACATTTCAGTAGTACAGCAGTCCAAGGACTGGCAGACTCATCATTGGTCAGTACAACAAAAAAATTTTCTACCATTTCCGCTCTTTGATTCATGTGTCTCCCGGGAGCTCACAAAGGATTCTGTCTATTAAAACACTACCTTGGCTGTGGCAATATATGCTTTTGTCTAAGAATGTACATGAACTAAACAGCAATTTGGCATGTGCCCTCGTCACGTCCTCCACCCACTCCGTGGTTTGTATGTTCCTGTTTTATGCAGTGCAGTCATATAAAAATTACAGAAAGTAAACTACAACACCTATTAAAAGTTTTACCTTCTGAATATGTGTAGGGCATAGCTAGCCCTTACAGTGAACTCCTTTCCTGTTCCTACTGTGTTCACATGAAATTTAAAAGTGGCACACGCACTAGAAAACACTTGGTCCTGTTCTCTGCCAGCCCTTTCCCACCTCCCAAAACAGTTCCATCATCACATATTCGGATAACAAAAGAGTTACCTGATCTCTACATTAATACTTCTGCTGATGGTGCTCTCACTGTCTCATCCTGTATTTTAACAGTCAGCTCCAGTGGCAGCTGGAGAATTTCGTGTTTGTTTAGATCTGATCTAAACATCATGCCCGTTAAAAACTTTTCACATGCAAACCAATAAATTAAATAAATAAGTATGACAAGACTGCCAAAGAGCAGTTTCACTGCTTTAAATCTAAGAAGAAAAGACTTAGAGAAGACATGTAACATCCTTCCAAGCAGAAAAGACTGATGTACAGAAGAAGAGAATAAACTCTTTTTGATATCCAGTGAAAACAGGATAGAAATGATCTCCAACTGCAGCAAGAGGGAGTGAGGCCAGACGCTGAGAAGAAGGTGTCCCACATCAAGGCTGGAGTGAAGGATCTGGGGAAGTTACAGCATCTCAATGGAAACCTTGGATCTAAAGAACACCGCCAGGAACACCTATGGCAGACTATCTTCTATAACTGCTGTTGCTGTGGAAATCAGTCCATTGCACCTGTGTTTGCTGCCTTAGTTGATAACTTCTCTTTCTGTCCTGCACCCGCTTCTTCAAATCCACCCTCACTCACTGTGTCCCGTGAACCTGGATACTCAATTCCCTTTGCCACTGTTAACTTCCTTACATCTCATTATTCTGCCTGAGTGATCCTCAATATGTGCACATTATCTACTCGATATTTGTTCAGCTAATTCCCTCCTCTCTGCTCCCTTCCTTATTAATGTTCATTGATGGTAATCTGATCCCCTTTGTTCTAACAGGGAAACCAATCCATTTAGAAGCCTGTTTTCCCCTTAAAAGTTCCCTGTATCTAATAAAACTAAACCCTTCCCTTTCACTTACTCTTTTAGAGGCTTTCTTTCTCCCCACCAAACCCACTAGTGCAGGTGGAAGCAAACACCTTGAGGAGTGACTGCTGTCAGACTCAGGATGAAGGATGCTCCCAGTAATCCTTTGTGATCTAATGAGGAGTGGTACGCACACACGTGTGGACACAGTATGGGCTCAGAAAGCCACAGACAAATCACATTACACTCTGACAGATGGGTAAATGATTTTTTGAGAAGGTGACAAACACAAACCCAGGTACAAAGTACTGAAAACACTTGCTTTAGAAAATGAACATAGTAGAATTTCAAAGGAAAATCACATTTTGGGAGTTCGGCAGCTGCAGTAGGAAGTTGTTTGAGTTGGTTGAGTGTGCCCACCAGAAGGGTTTACCCTTTATTCTACCCCAGCTGTGTCTATGTTTATATAAGATTTTCGGGCAAAAAGACCCAGCTCCTTCAGTCTTGCAGACTGTTTTACAGCCAATATCCACCATGACTTTCACTTGTATTGGAATTACACTATCTATACCCACTTTTATTCAGGCTGCAAAAAAAGCAGTCACACCTAGATATTGTTGGGCAATGTCAACTGGTTTATGCCTGCTTGTGCTAGTCACCCTTTAAGAAACATACATAAGCCTAGAACATGTTAGCACTTTTTTCTTGCAAATGGAGGTCACAGAGAGCAATAAAAGAGCCCCACAACACCACCTACAAGGCCTGGTTTTTTTCAGACAACTTATTGTCACCTGGTATCCAGTGACAGGACACGTGGGAATGGTTCAAAGCTGCACCAAGGGAGGTTTAGACTGGACATTAGGAAGCATTTCTTTACCAAGAGGGTGGTCAAACACTGGAACAGGCTTCCTAGAGAGGTGGGTGATGCCCCATGTCAGTGTTTAAGAGGCGTTTGGACAATGCCCTCAATAACATGCTTTAACTTTTGGTCAGCCCTGAAGTGGTCAGGCAGTTGGACTAGATGATCACTGTAGGTGCCTTCCAACTGAAACATTCTATTCTATTCTATTCTATTCTATTCTATTCTATTCTATTCTATTCTGCCTGACAGTAACACAAGTTCCTGGCCTGCAGACCTGGTCATTGTAACGCTGCAACATGTTACAGCGTTACACTGTTGTCATCTGTTGTCTTTCAAGTTCAGACCTAGGAACCAGAGCAGTGTGTCATGATTTTGACCCAAAGAACTCACAGTAACCACAACACACACTGCAAAAAGCAGCAAAACCAGGTAACTTTTATGTAGTCACCGAGAACGAGAGAGTGATTTATCAGTGGTGGAAGGAGAAAGGGATATGTGATTGCTGTTCCCATTAAAGAGCTGGGAGACACCAGCTATAATGCTGTTACAGTCCTCTTCGCCAGGGTGCTGGAAATTCAAAGTTCATTTATTCAGTGTGAATTTCACACACAGTTCTCCATTAAAAGTCATTCAAAACATCACCAAGGTTTATGTGGTTGATAGCCAGAGCACTCATGAACACCAGTTGTCAGTAGAGTTGGGATGCTGAAAGGCAGAAAAGCACAAGAATCTTTTTGCAGCATCCATAGCACTCTTTACACACTCTAATGCCAGACAATAAGGGGAAATAAACCAAATTCTGGGTATAAATAAGATGTAACCCTTCATATTCAGTAGTCCAAAATATTATAAAATAACTGAACTATACCAGAACCAAAAGGGAGTTCACTTTTTTGGTTTCTAGTTGACCACTAGAAGCTGACCGATAGTTAATGCTGACTTGGGCAGAATAACCTAGAAGTGATCCATTTCATCATGCTCCAGGTAGTAAAATGACTTCTTACAGAGTGGAACAGAGTGGAAGACACTAAAAAAGAATTATCAGCTTAGAATTATAACCATGAAAGAAAACAATCACAGCTTTTCATACCTATATGCTAACTGAACTTATTATAATTTTAATTGTGTAGAAGAACTGGGAGCTCTACTTACTTTCACACAGACGTCTTCTCAGCTTTCCCCGAATTTTATCGATGGCGTTGTAATCGGAGACATGAAACACGTGAGCAGACTTGGGTTCTGAAGCAATCTCATCGAGTTCCTCTTTTAAGGCTTCGCCAACACCCACAGCAAAGACCCTAATCCCAGCCTGATGAGTTGCAGTGGCTGGATCCAAGACATAATCCTGGCTCCTTCCATCAGTCAGAAGGATAGCCACTTTTTTAACAGTTCGATCACTAAGTCTCCCACCAGCTTCTTTGGAAAAACTGTAGGTGTTGATGTACCTGAGAGCATCTCCAGTGTTCGTATTACCCCCATAATACTTAATGTTTCGTGCAGCCTCTTTGATTTCCTCACGGGTTTTGTACTTTCCCAGGTCAAACTCTGTGGTTGGACGATCACTGTATCGCACCACACCTACACGGGTTTTGTCTGGGCCAATCTCAAAAGTTTCCACCAAATTAGACACCCACTGCCGAACTTTCTCAAAATCTTCTTTTCCGACGCTGGAGGAGGCATCCAAGATGAAGACAAGGTCATAGTGAACATTCTTGCAACCTGCAAGGGTGGCAGAAAATATTGCTAAGGGAAGCTGAAAGACAAGTATCAGACATACTAAATATTCCCTAGGCATAGCTCTCTAGTGAGCAATTTGGAGGAGGCAGCAAACCCTCTCCCTATCCTGCAGAGAAAGTGCAGATTCTCAGCCTTTCTTCCTTGTGATTCACCTCATCTGTTTCAGGACATCTACAGTAGATCAGCACACACTTCACTTTGAAATGCAAACCCTTTCTGTTCCTGCACTACTAACTGCCTCTGCTCAATCTTTTCACCTACACCATCTGCATGCATATGAAGTTATTTTTCTCAAACTTCATTGCAGTGCCTTTGCTCAGGCAATGCTCTAAAATGACCTTGGCGCCTCAAGAGACCTGCCCTGACCTTGCCTATGCCAATCCTGACCATGAGTAGTGAAGCTTTCATGTTCCCTCTTGCATTAACATTATGATTTATTTATGCTTAGCTAGAAGCAGTTCTTTTGCTCAGCATGGTATCTTGGTGAAGCAAGTTTGTAACAAGATTATTTTGATTTTGAGGCTCTCTGCCATTGACTATTGACTAAAGGATGACTCACTGAATACTGGGATGGCTTCCGTGACAACAAAGGGCAGTTGCTTTGTAAGGGAAAAGATCGCTTATTCCCACAACCACCCTTTTGGCTCCAGCCATGATATTTGTAATCTGAGGCCTGTGTAATCCAAAAGGCAAATGTATTTTAATTGCAGCTTGCTTGCCCTATGAAGCCAGACTGGTCATATATTTGCCAGCCGCTTGCCAAGAAAGTAGATCTCCCAGGAGATGTTTTCTAGCTCTTTCTCAATATATGCAAGCCAAGAGGCAGGATATTCATGAATGTTCCACAGATGCCAAAGATTTATCAACATAAAGCCCCAACTGGACAAAATGTATATATACGCATATGTTTATTTAATTCACTATTATAGACCATAGTCCCTAAAAAAATATGGATTTCAAGATTGAAAACTGCTCTACAAAGTAAATTTACCTATGGTCACAACCACCAAACATTTAACAGTTCGATCACTAAGTCTCCCACCAGCTTCTTTGGAAAAACTGTTCGTCTCACGTCTCACAAAGTACAACTGCTTGTTTGAACCACTGGTAAAAAGCTAATTTGACCAATCATGTGGGGAACAAAGCACATATGATACAAGACAGAGAGCTGGTCCATACCAGTGCCTGTGCCACTTTATTTCTGTCAGAGTAACAGGGCTCTTCTATGTCCCACCGAACTGGAGATGTTATATCTGTCCCCTAAACTGTTGGCAATTGCTTTTAAACCCCGCTGCTTTACCAGGATCTGAGCTGGTAGCCCACATCTGCCCACATCCACTGAGAGCAGATCTGTTCTGTTGACTCCTGTTTCACTGCAGGACCCTGATTCCCCCGACTGTTCCCACTATGACCATGTCAATAACCTCTTCCAGGCTCTGACCCGGACTGATCAAGCTACCTCCCTTGGTCAGAAAATCTGAGAGTATTTGTGAGAATACATAACTCCAGGGTATGCCTACTGAGGACAGTTTAGCTCTCCATACATTAAAAAGTGACATTACCACTGTACGGTTTGTATGTTTTCACATCAGACTAGTTCCAGCCAGGTCCCAGCAACTAAACGTCCATCAGTAACTAAGACCTCAGACCTGCCTCACCTCTGTGGACTTGCCTGGAGAATGGCTGACCCTGGCTGCTGTCTTTAGACCTGATCCAGACCTTGACTTGCTCACTCATGTTCCTGGCTTGATCTTGGACCTGCTTCATCACTATGAGCTTGTCTGGGAATCTGGATTGTCCGCTGAGCCTGGCTGCCATCCCCCAGCCTTCCCTGCTCCCTGGCTGAGGGTGATAGGACAGGCTGTGGCTGGTGAGACCCTCTCCTGCTAGCCCAGGGAGACCCCCACCTTCTGGCTCCCCATCCCTTAGGAAGTAGCCTGTCCTTGCTGCAGTTGTAACCAGAGCTAAAGCACTGATGTAAATGCACCCAATGTGGATGTTAGCTGAGGACTAGGATGTTTTCCCCTGGAACAGACCAAAGAGGTCGGAGGTATCATACACAGCGCATCCAGTCAAGCACTTGCTTGACAGCTGGCTCAGTGAACAGAAATATGAATCACGCTACCCAAAAGTGGGGGGAATGATGCTGTTGCCATATTTCCTCACTGAGTTCCAGCATTTGAGCCACAGGAAGGTCACAAAGTCTTCTTCCACACCCAAATTTGACCTTATGGTTCATAAATTAGCTCTGGTGCTTTTGATCATCCTGGGGCTGTGCACCTGCCCTGAAGAGGACAGGAATCCCAGAACAACCCACTGCACTGGAAAGGAGATTGTGGGTGGCTCAGCCATATGAAGAGGACTTGCCTTCAGATAAGACCAAAAAGCATTGTAGGTAGGCATTATAACGCTGTAGGGCAATGCTCATGGTATTGCATGATGGCTGCAAGGGTGGTTGAATAGACATGCGGTATGTTGAGAGGGACCGTGAAAAATGAGCATTATCTGTTGCTGTGTTAATTTCCATGGCAGGGTACATCCCAGAGACCTGACCCAGACACTGCTGTTCCTTCAGCATCTACAGGAACAACCTATGGACCTGGGATTGGGATCATGGTGGGAACAACCCATCCACATGTGATCACATTGGAAACAACCTGTCCACATCAGATCATGTTCTGTGACAGCATTTTGTGAGTGAGGAAACACTTGACTCTAACCACAGAGCAAGAAAGGTCTGTCTGGAAACACACAGTAACTCTCTCAAAGGTAATCAGAGTGTGGAGATGACCAAATATAACATTTTATATTATCGGATGTAAGTTACATTACATCTGTATATATCTGCTAGACTGCCAAGAGTAATTCTGCTTGATTTTTGCAGAATATAAAGGATATAATAGGTAACAGTAAAGGGTAAGCAAGAAAAACCCACTCTGTCCCCCTAATTCATTATTGCATTAATCTATTCTGTCTGAAAGAACATTAATTAAGTGAGACTAACCAGAGAATATAAAGGTTTAAGTATAAAACCCACAAGGTACAGACCTTCCTGTTGCTTATTTTAATAACTGTCAGCAGGTGAGATGACTGCAATTAACAAACAAACAGAACAGACAGAATGATTCCTGTTGGTGTTCAAGGGCAACAGCCCTTAAAACAAGGCGGGGGGGGGGGGTTAAGGTTTAAAAAGTGATGCCTATTCAGGCAGTATGCAGGGAAGAAAAAGACGGTCTTTCAGGATCATTTTCTTAGAGTCAGTGATTCTTTGCTTACAGACCTGATGGCAGTGAGATGAAACACTGCAGAAAAGCTTTTAGTAAATACTAATCTGCATTTTTAACACAGTAATGTCCAATGCTGGACAAAATTGATTGTTTTCCAAGAATGCTATAATAATATTGTTTACTGGCAGAAACAGTTCATGAAAAGGGAATATGGGAGATAATTCATAGAAAGTGAACTTCCAGTTTTGTAATTACAGGAATACTCTCTGGAAGCATAATTCCAGGAGTTGTATTCATCCACTCAGACACTGAGTCAACCATTGTGCAATATTGCCATTAAAAATAGTTCACAAACAAGCCATAAGCCCAAAATTATTTAAAGTAATCACAGAATGAACATATAAATGGTACCACCGTATCCTTCCTGTAACTGATCCACAGGCAGAAAAAAAGATGAGATTTCACTTTGTTTTGTTACTAAGTACTTATTCCCATTAAACTTCACCCAAAAAGCCTTATATAGATCACATAACAAAACTGTAAAGATTGAGAGAAGGTCTAAAAAAAAAATCCCTTTCTTTCTTACAAATTACCCAAGGATATGGAATAGCATCTTTCCTAGAAAAAGAGACAGAAAGCCTCCATCTCAAAGTACCTTTGGGCTTTTATACCAATAAACTCCGTGGGTCTACAACTGTTTTCTGTCCCTGAGGTATAGCATCATTCACAGCCGGATAACTCCACTCTTCCTACTCCCCCCCAAAACACCTGGGTGGGGGCAACCCCCGGTATCACTACAGGCTGGGGGATGAAGGGATTGAGAGCAGCCCTGCTGAGAAGGCCTTGGGGGTACTGGTGGATGAAAAGCTGGACATGAGCCAGCAATGTGCGCTCGCAGCCCAGAAGGCCAATCGTACCCTGGGCTGCATCCAAAGAAGCGTGGCCAGCAGGTCGAGGGAGGGGATTCTGCCCCTCTACTCTGCCCTGGTGAGACCCCACCTGGAGTACTGCGTCCAGCTCTGGAGCCCTCAGCATAAGAAAGACACGGACCTGTTGGAGCGGGTCTAGAAGAGGGCCACAAAAATGATCAGGGGGATGGAACACCTCTGCTGAGGCTGAGAGAGTTGGGGTTGTTCAGCCTAGAGAAGAGAAGGCTACAGGGAGGCCTTATTGCGGCCTATCAGTACTTAAAGGGGGCTTATAAGAAAGATGGGGACAAACTTTTTAGCAGGGCCTGTTGTGACAGGACAAGGGGGAATGGCTTTAAACTGAAAGGGGATAGATTGAGACTAGTTAAAAGAAAGAAATTTTTTACGATGAGGGTGGTGAAACACTGGCCCAGGTTGCCCAGGGAGGTGGTGGATGCCCCATCCCTGGAAACATTCCAGGTCAGGTTGGACGGGGCTCTGAGCAACCTGATGTAGTTGAAGATGTCCCTGCCCACGGCAGGGGGTTGGTCTAGATGACCTTTAGAGGATCCCTTCCAATCCAGACTCTTCTATGATTCTTTAAAAAACAATGTGTCCTCGTCAAGACTGCCTATAGGAACAATCCCTCAGCTGCACCATCCTCTAATGCATTCAGCGGCATTTGGGAGAGAGTGCTCATCATCGCAGGACAAAAGCCATGCCAAGGACCATGCCAGCAACCAGACAGTATCTATCAAGAGAGGGTATGAACAGTGCCCTGGCCCTGTTGAGCTCGCTAGGTAAGTCCCAGCCAGATTGAAGATTCACCAGATCTAATCTGAAACCCACTGAAGGCAACAGAAGAAGTGATCTTCATGCCAGTGCGGGGTACATGAAGCATATCCAGAGTAAACTGCATGCTGCTCCCCTTGCTCTGGGTAGCTGAGCTAACCTCTCTAAGCCTGCAGCAGAACCAGAGACCCTAGGTAAATCATAACCTTGATCCTTGAGCTATCTCCATCCCTAAAGTCTATTTTATGTCTTTTCAGCAGTAAATATGTTGCTTGGGTTTTATATTGTTTTCCTCCTAGCAACGGTAGCTTCTCAGCCACATAAAAGCCCCAGCAGCTACTTAGCAGGAGACTAGGCCGAACAGCGCGTACCTGCTCTTTGTGCCTCAATTCGCTCCCCGGTGAGCACGAATGTGAGAAGAACTAGGAGATGGGGCACGCGGCATCTTCCCATAATGGACATATCTCCTTTCTCACATCAGCTTGTCTTTTTGCCGTGGTGAGACGCTTGCTAGAAATCCAATCCGTAGCCTAAAATAAAGAGCAAGTGTTATCTCATAGAAACACAACCAGAAGTAATGATGCAAGTCATGGGAACAATGTTTTGGGGAGTTGTCTCTTCTGCCCATCATTTTACTTGACTAGACACAAACTGCTTAGACAAAGAGGCAGGAGTTCACCTACTTTTCAAAATCTATAGCCCTTCACTGGCTCTACTCAGTGTGCAGCAGCCTGAATGGAAAAAGGAGAGAGATTACCTGATTATTATACTTTAAGTGAGCCCACTGCAACTACACAATCAATGCACTGGAGTGGAAACCATTCCTGACCTGGGCCTCCCATGCATTCATCATCAGGAGACATACAACGCAGAGCTGAGATGCAAACCACTGCAAATCACACACAACCGCTTGCCACTTCACCCGTCGCTGCTTTCAGTTCCCGAGCCTCAGAAATGACGAACGCTAAAAATACGTGGCTGTTTTCATATATGTGTTTGTTGCTGTTGGTCCTTCTCTATAGGATTAAACTCAGCTTCAAAACACATCTTTCAACTGTTTAGTTTAAAGGAGTGCAAAAGCTCAGGGGGATGATCTTCAGTTTAAAGTCATTGGTTTGAGTTTACCTTGACTGAAGCCACTGAAGTCAGCCGGTATTGTAACAAGCCAGGCAAAGTGGCTGGGCTGTTAAAAGTTTAGCTATGTTTTCTAACACTAGACCAATTCTTTTTTTTTAATTTTTTTTTATTTACTTATTGCTGTTTTATCATTTTTTATTAGACAGACCATAAAATCATTGCAGTTCTATACACTATGTACACACACACAGGGGAAAACAGTTTTCACTCTGCAGCTCTTTTTACTGCTTAAGGAATCATTTTGGGAAACTTTCTCCCAGCTCCTGAATCCATCTTTTCCTCTTTAATGCACAGATTTCTTTGCTCATTTTCTTAGGGAATTTCTGCTTCCTCTGTCTTTTATCATGCACATCAGCTTCTTGCTGTTGACAGCTGGGTAAAAGAGGCATGAAGGGGGCACTGTATGTTGTAGATCATTGCTGCCGGGTCAATTATGCATTCTAGGATATTTCTTTTCAAAGCAATAGGGTTCTGTGGGAATCACAGACAAAAAGAACGGTGGTGTCAACATTTGTTCAAAACCAGTCTTGATCAGTCAAATGTGGGGCCTATCTCTACCACGTATCTCAGAAATAAAGTGCACATCATTTTGGTTTACAAAATAAAAAAGGGGAAAATCTTACGTAGTTGTTGAGACGTAGCTGTAAATCCTTATTCCCAGGACAAAATACAGGCTCCTATATTTTCAAGAGTCCATATCATACGCAGACAAGGAGAAAACCAATGCATCTAATAAACCCTGTACCCTGCAAATAAAATTTCAAAGTATCTGCCAGAAGTAGAACATAAATGCAAGAAAGAATTTAAAAAACAAAAGAAAAAAAAGCATGCATATTCAAGTACCATCCCTAAATCCAAAGGGCACAAGCAGGTGCTGTAGTTTACACCTCAGCCAGACGGTGTCCCTACGAGACAGTGAGGTGCTCAGGTTCAAGTGAGCTGGAAAAGGTTGCAGGGTAAAAAGGGCATGAAAATATCACCGTGCCCTACAGTAGTTAGAATTTCCTTTTAAATAAGTACATTACTGAAATACCGATCAGGCAGCCATCTGCAGAGGGATCAGGACAAGCATTCCTTAAAATAGCTATGGGAGCCTTCAGCCCAAGGTTTTTCCTCCTGTGTATTTTTTAGGAAACATTGTTTTCTGGCACTGGTGGTGGGAGAGCAGGTTAGTGGCGGCAGCGAGAGATGGGAAACCAGATCTGCCATGTGGCGTTCTGCACTTCCAGTGCTGAGAGCTCAAAACGTCCTTTCTCTGTGTCTGGGCTTGCACGGCTGCGAAGTCTTATAAATACATTATTAAAAACGGTCTTTGCCAGCTGCTAACCCACATGAGGCCAGGATAAAAGGAGCAGAGCACCAGCTGGTGTCAGTCAGCAGAACGGCAGCGGGATGGACCAACGCTGGCTCGACAGGCAGCGGATGCGGCGTGACGGGGAGCTTGGTGGACGCGGCTCGCTTGGTAAACACATGACTTCCGCCCCAGCAGAAGGACTACCTACATGACCAGGTCTGAGAGCTCCATCTCTAAGGCATCATTCCTCTCCACTCTTTGCCAAAACACTTCAAGAGCTCATTGCTGCATTATGAATGCTGAAAGGTGTCTCAGAATGGTCATTTAGGCTAAAAATAGTGGGGGGAAAAAACCAAATCAAATCAAAACATCTGCTTAAAATCCATAACCATAGCCTGTGGTGGCTTTAATACACATTTGTGGTTCAATATTATTCTTGCATTCAGGCCAAAATACATCATTTTATTCATTTTTATAGCATGAAGAATTAAACCAAGTCTCTTAACCTGCAACTACTTTATGTATGGAAATATCAGCGAGAGAAAATTGCCCCATTCACATCAACAGGACTCATATCATGGCAAGGAAGTCTTCAGGGTATTAGAACAAAGGTTGGAGATAAAGCATTTTTAGTGATGGGTTTTCCACACCAGTTTCTTTCCCACCTCAGTCTCTCACTGTGAGACTGAGCCCAGTTTGAGATTACAGCAGCTGATCAACATGTATTTCCCCTTCCAGGAGAAACGGTCAAAAAGAAGCCAAAAGTGGGACAGTTTAGGCTTCAGAGTGATCCAAGAATAACAAATACTGTTTAGTTGACCCTATTTCCAAATGGCCAACATGGATTTTTTTATTACTATTATTTTTAGTTCAGCTTACCATGTGGGAATAATTTTCCTCAAAGTGGCCTAAGTCAATGTACATCCTTCAAAAATACCTCCTTTTTTCTTTTTATCTCGCAAACATCACTTTGGGGTTCCCTTGTGACACATTTAGATCTATTAAGTGATATTGCAAAAAGAACTGACAAATCCTATCACATCCAAGTTTATTACCAAACTGCGGACTCTGTGTCTGAGGCCCTGTTTTTAATAGTTTAATGGGAAAAAAAGAGATTAATAATTCTGGCTACATGCAAACATGATGCGGGAATAGCATCCAGGCTGAAAAGCGTGCTGGTAAATGTTAAAGTGAGCTCTCTACACTTAAAATACAGGCATAGTACTAAGCTATTCATACCGCCTCACAGCTGAACAAACAACATGCAGAAGATAGACACAAGCTCTATATAACCTTCAGCTTTGGTATGGCTTTTTCAGGAGGGATGGTATAGAGTTTTAGGTCAGTGAGCATCCATGGTAAGGCCTCTCTACTTTTGCACAATAAGTAAACACTCTTTGGGAAATGTACACTCATAAAAAGCAGCATTAAAAAAAAAAAGAGCTGAAGAAGAACTAGGTCTTCTCATCTCAAACGTACTTTAATATTTTGCTCACTGTTGGGCTTCCCTTGCACTCCTGCATTTTAAGGGATGCTGCTTTGTCTTCTCGAGCTTTACCCCTTGAGGCTGGGAACAGAGCCAGGGCTCTGCTTTCCGAAGAATCGCATACATATCCAGAACAGAACAGCATAGCTGGGCTATTGGGGTTTATTCCTGATTGAACCAAAGTCAAAGAATATCCTGACATCAGTTTATTTAGAAAATGAAACCCCTGTCCATTGCGAATAAGATGATGGTGTTTTCTATCCTGCTCTCTCTGTCTTTGTCCTGCCAGAGCCTGATCCTGGAGGGACATACAGTGACTTTGTTCTAACCTTGCTTGTCAGATAATGCTGTTGCATCATTGTAAGTCAGGGGACAAGGAGGAAAAACTTGTATGAAAGAATAGAAGCAGAACTGTTTATTTAGAAACGGCATCTTGAAAAAATAAAGGGAAAAGGGGCAGACACAAAGAATGTGGCAGAGAGGAAAACTTCACGGCATTTCTAGGACAAGCAATTTAAGCACAAGCACTGGATATTCCCTATCTCAGCCTCTCCAGAGACTGCTCTTCTGTCCTGGTTTGAGAGATGTCACCAACAGCAAAAACCATGTGAGTTAGAGACGGAAAAAAACAGAACACTTTCAGTGATCTCTTTCATCCTTCAGAGGAGTGATTCAGTCACAAATATTAATAAAACAAAACAAAACAAAACTGGAGTCAATAGTAAGATGAGCATTTCAGAAGCGTGATTCAATAAAACTGCTTAGAAGCAGTTCATGCGAGCCGAAGTTCAAAGACCCTACAGGAACAGTCCAAAGATCAGTGATTCAAGGCTGAATGTAAAAAGCATATCCAGTTATGGACTTTAGTCTGCTCATTAACATATCTGAGCTTTTACTTACGTTTTACTAAATTATACCACTGAACTGTTCATCTTACTGTTAAATTCAAGGCGGGCTGATACTATTATTGTGCTTAATTTCATCCATTCGTCTGCTGCCACTGAACATCACCATACACCATATAAATGTTCTAACTATGCTGGCATTCATAATGTGATATTAAATGTCTTTGGTATGCTCCTCTGAAGAAGAGGTTAGCCTGGGGTGAAAAAGACAGTGTCCAATTATACAGCTTTTCACACACACAAAAAAAAGAAAAACAAAACCCAGAACACTAATACATCTGACATCTTCGTAGAGTCAGCTTGTTGATCGTGCCTCTTCCAACTACTGAACTAAGCAATTTAATTATCTAAATTATTGCTGATATGAGCAGGAAGCCAACCATATAAAAGAGAGATGGGACTTTCCTCCCCCCGATCAGCCCATGTGGTCGTATATCTTTGTTCGATGCTTTTTAAAGAAATCATCCGATGGCATTTCTGGAAGATATGCATCTTCCCAGGCCTGATCCAAAGCCAACTGTAATTAATGAAAAGAGGGCCATTGATTTCAGTGGGCATTATTTCAAAACCCATGTGAATAATAGAGCAGAAAATCCTCTGCTAACACCGGAGTTGTTCCTGAGGTACTTTGTTCAACTAC